GACAGGTGGAGTTGCCGTGTCCTGTCAGTGAGGCTGCCGCTCTAGGTGCTAGTACGTCTGTTGCCCTAGGTGCTGGTGAGGCTGCTACTCTAGGTCCTAGTGAGTCTGCGCCCCCTGGTACTGAGTCGACTGAGGCCCTGCACACCTTCACCCTGGACTCAGGTGCTTCTCACTGTTTCTTTCGTGACCGCACTGCCCTTGAGCCGCTTGCTCGGCCAGTTGCTGTCTCCCTCGCTGACCCCTCTGGGGGTCCGGTCATTGATGCCGAGATGGCTTCCTGGAAGTCCACAGGCACCTACGTCGACGAGGTTCCCCCACCTGGGGCGAACATCGTCAGTGGCATGTGGATTTTCAGGGTGAAGCGGCCGCCGGGTTCTCCTCCTGTCTTCAAGGCGCGCTACGTTGCTCGAGGCTTCAGTCAGCGAGAGGGAGTAGACTTCTTCCAGACCTTCTCCCCCACCCCGAAGATGACTACTCTTCGGGTGCTGCTGCACATAGCCGCTCAGCGCGACTACGAGCTTCACTCACTTGACTTCAGCACAGCTTTCTTGCAGGGCAGCCTGCACGAGGAGATCTGGCTGCGTCGCCCTCCTGGCTTCACTGGGTCGGTTCCTCCTGGCACCCAGTGGAGGCTCCAGCGACCGGTCTACGGTCTCCGCCAGGCGCCGCGTGAGTGGCACGACACACTGAGGACTACACTTGCGGCTCTTGGGTTCGCTCCTTCTACTGCTGACCCGTCGCTATTTCTACGCACCGACACCTCGCTGCCGCCGTTCTACATCCTCGTGTACGTCGACGACTTGGTCTTTGCCACTGCTGACACTGCGGCACTCGCCCACGTGAAGTCGGAGCTGCAGAGGAGACACACGTGCACAGACCTGGGTGAACTGACAAGCTACCTTGGCTTGCGGATCACCCGGGACAGAGCACGGCGCACCATCACCCTGACTCAGTCACACATGGTACAGCAGGTCCTTCAGCGCTTCCGCTTCACGTACTCCTCGCCTCAGTCTACTCCTCTGCCTACCGGTCACTCGCTCTCAGCTCTGCCTTCGGATGAGTCCGTAGAGCCGAGTGGCCCGTATCCAGAGCTTGTGGGCTGCCTCATGTACCTGATGACCTGCACTCGACCTGACCTTGCATACCCTCTTAGCATCCTTGCACGCTATGTCGCTCCTGGCCGTCACAAGAAGGAGCACATGGATGCTGCTAAGAGGGTGTTGCGCTACTTGTGCAGTACGTCGGGCATGGGGCTAGTGCTTGGAGGGCGAGACCGAGTTGTACTCACTGGTCACTCAGACGCTTCTTGGGCGGACGACCAGGCTACTCAGCGGTCGTCTCAGGGTTACACCTTCAGCCTTGGCTCCGGCTCAGTTTCTTGGCGTTCCACACGCTCTTCTTCTGTTCTCAGCTCCAGTTGTGAGGCTGAGATCTACGCCACAGCCATGGCGGCCCAGGAGCTACGCTGGCTGACCTACCTGCTGACCGACTTGGGAGAGCGGCCTCGTTCTCCTCCAGTGCTGTACATCGACAACAAGGCTGCCATTGCCTTGTGTGAGGAGCACAGACTGGAGCACAGAACGAAGCACATCGCCCTGCGGTACTTCCTTGCTCGAGAGCTGCAGCAGCGCGGTCAGCTTTGTCTGCGTTACGTGGCCACTGAGGCCAACACTGCTGATGTGTTCACCAAGGCGCTTCAGCCTTGTGACCATCAGCGCTTCTGCACTCTTCTAGGCCTTGTGCCTGCTGGACCTCACTTGCTTACTTCTTGACTCTGTTTGTATTGTGATCTCTATATATATACTTGCATGCTTACACTTGCTAGGTTGCGATCACTGTATCTCTTGCTATATTATCAAACTACATGTGAACTGGTCTTGTGACCACTTGCTTGTGCTCGGAATTTGTGTGGTATCCTTGAGATCCACCCTGAGCTTGTTTTGCTTTGCTTTGACTGGTCTTGTGACCCTCTGGTTGTCTCCCACTTCGCCTATGGGGGTGTGTCAAACATTGTATGTTTATATTGTGTAGGCTATAGTTGGATTAGCCTTAGAGGGTACACAAACTTAGGGTTTCATACTTGTACCCACCTTCCTGCTAGTTCATCCATTCTCGTTCTATTCTAGATTCTGACAGTAAGATCCTATCGCGGTCCTGAACAGCAGCGCTCTGTAGAATGCCCAAAAGTCTTGCAGTTTTTGCAGTAATATTGACGTCGGCATGAGTCGCGGGGCTGTAGTTGATAGCGACGGGAGTAGAAGGCGATCTGCCCTCAGGGAGCCCCCTTTTCTTGGTTAAAATGCATGTTGTGTTGCTTGTGTAGCAGGGTGGCGCAGATATGCACTTAAAAGATTATTCCCTATTGGCGGAGCAGAGCTTTGCAAGGGGTCCACTGAGGTCCCAGGCTCCGAAGCACGATTGTGACGAACATGTCTTAAGGGATAGAATTTCCGAGCTTCAGAAGTTGGTCGTGGACGCTATGGCAGCGGTTGATGTAGGCATTTGCCTTTTCGCCGGGCATCATTTTAACTTCCATGAGTTGCTGGAGGAGGTAGCTGGAAGACATGGAGTCTCTAAAGGTGGCTGGTAGGTTTTAGTAAAATAGCTCCAGGCTGCCATGGCGGGTGCTGGGGGGGTTTTGAAGGTGCGAACGCCGAGTTGTTCGGCTGGCGCCGTGTTGCGAAGTAGGTTTGTTATATGCCATAAGCGACTCGTTATAACACTGGGCTTTGGCCTCGTCAGTGTCGCTAGCGGGGGCGGCGTAGCTTCCATCAAAGTAACAGAAAATTTGTGTGCTTTGGAGAAGTAGTTCGAGCTCGAAGCTCCACGTGTAGAAGTCTCGCCTGTTAAAAGCGGTGCTAGTGTGAATCTTAGAGATGGCCAAAACTTGTTCTACGCTGTGAGCATAGCTTTGTCACTTGGACGGGAAGTGGTGGGAGCAGAAGAGTTCGATCTACGATCGAAAGTGGTTGGGCTCGATTCCTTGTTTGGAGCAGCTAGTTGGTCAAGTTGTCGTGGGGTTATCGAATTGCCGCTCTTCGGTTGTTGAATACACGATTCCAGTGTGGTGATTCGCTAGATGCGTTGTTACAGCAGGGCATTGCTGATGGTGATGTTGCCCGCGGAGTTTGCGATACGGTTGGCGGGGGCTTTAGCAGTGGGAGCTGCTTGCCTGCCACATCCACCAACCATGTTTCGGCGGGAGCATGTACCAGACGCCACATTGGATTCGAATTTGAACCAGCGGCGGTGATGTGAAGAATCTCGAGTAGTTCTCATACCATGTTACAATCTGAAAAGACTATCGTCTCTGGTTGATCGCACGTAGTGTTCTGAATGTTTGCTAGTGATGTCGGGTACAGACCCTGCCAGAAGAAGGAGATTTGAATCTCGACATCATTGACTAATATAATGTGGTACAGGGGTTTATATAGGAATATAGTGGAATACAAAAGGTCCTAGCTAGCCATGTACTCTGAGGGGGTAGATTCTCCTTAGGGCTAATCTAGATCCGGGCAACCAACTCTTCGCTTCGGTATTATAATGTGCCATGGTTACTGTTTGAAAGTTTTCCCGCGCTTTGCACTTCGAATTCTTCCTGCTTCCATCTGTCTTCGATAACTGTTTGTGTCGCTTGGTCTTCGTCCTTGTTTCCATCATCTTCGTTAAGAGTTTGTTATTGTAGAAATGCTATTCAACAATTCCATATCGTATGGTAGAGTCGTGTGTTCTGAAGTGCTGGCTGTTTTTGTTGCATTACAATTTTGGGGAAAGAAAGGAATCAACGGTCTCCTGACCTGAGCCAATTAGCGTGCTCTACATAAAGATGTCAATATAGAACCAATACTGCATTTTCATTGCCAATCTGGTTTACAAATTGCGATGCGCAAAGGAATATATATGCGCCTCGTTTAAATGTCGGCGTTTCTTCCAGCGGTACAGAAGGGTCTAGACTCGCTACGACTCGGGATTTTCGGCTGTAAATTCGCCTCGTACGCAAGACAAGCCAGCATTTTTTGTCCTTCCCTCCCCGCACAAACGGTTCCAACGGCTGATGCAGCCTGTGACGCCATTGGCTCGCTGGTTCTGCCCCTGCTCTAGGCGATTTGTTCGGCGGCAGCGCCTCGGCAATCCGCAGCCCTGCGCTCCGATGACGTACGGCTCGAAATCACTTTCGCACGGGTTTCTGGAGTACCGCGCGCGCCAAAGTCAACAGCAAAAACGCTGTAAGGGGGAACTTTTTAAAACCCAACCAGATTAGAACGAACCAAAGCTAATCTATCTCAACCCATGTATTATCATTGAATGGGTGCTTTCTTTTCACGTTTCTCCTGCCTTGCCCAACTTGCATCACCAACCAACCATCCAGGCAGCCTCCCCCTTCCATCCCATCTCCCCCCGTTCCCCTTCCCGCACCCCATCCCCCCCAGCACCTCCATTTCCTATTCACTACAGTATCTTCCTGACTCACACCTGTCGTTCATACTGGGCAGCATACCTCAAGTTCTGTGGGTGTGTGTTTGTGTGGTGGTGATGATGACGGCGCCGCATTCCAACAGTACTCACCATGCATGCCGACGCCGTGCCGGCAGGCTTGCGAATGGATTTACCGTTTATCGCTGGAATCTGGCACGTCTTGGTCTGTTTTAGAATTAACGGCCATTCGTTCACATCAGGCATGAAGCTTCAACCCCTAGCTCCGTACTCTCCCACATCCTGTTGACCTATGCTGCTAACTACAACTGGTGCTGTAATTTGATCGCTTTCTAGCGCCTCTACTGTTACTCTGGAAGAGTGAACGCAACTCGCGTCGCTCGACGACACGAAAGAACCGCATTTAGAAATTTTCAATCTCAGACGTAGGTACCATCTCCCACGCCGCCATCGATAACAGCAACACTTTCACATCACCTCCCTCGCTGTCTCGTTCATCCGCCCACCGTAGCCCGGAGCTCCGAAGCACGTTGCCTTAATCGCCTCTTCGCCCCGGTCTCTAGACTATGTCCGACTCGCGCCAGATGCCGCTACTAGCGGACGACGGGGCGAGCGGCGCAGGAGCTGGCGGAGTGAACAGTAGCAACCTGATCGGCGGATTGTACGGCGGGCTGAACGGGAGTTTCAAGATGGGTGGAGGCAGGTGGCGGTACCTGGCGGGAGTGAGCCTTCTGGTCGCGCTAGCGCTCTTCGCCCCGCTCGCCTACCAGATGTGGCAACCCAGCAGCGACGTCTCCTTGATCCCCTCGCAGTGGCAAGGTACCCTACCCGTGCATATGCTTCTCGAGCCGTCTCTCGTTGTCTGCTTCAATGTCATTCCGCTCGTTTCCCTATTTCCCACACTTACTCATTTTCCAGTACTTCCCTCTTCTCTATTAACCCCCTTTCCTCACCCTACCTCTGCATCCTTTCTCTTGCGCTATCTGTCGGCTTGCGCCATCTTCCCCCCGTGCGCCATCACGTCCGCGCTCCCAGGCGTCATGCGCCTTTCCACCGCGCCAACTGGCACCGACGCCTGGAGCTCGCTCATATTCTCCGCCGCTAATCCCTCCGGCCGCGCCGCCGCCCTTGGCGGGGAGGCCGCCAGCGGAGAGCCGTGGGATGCGATGGAGGTGGAGGCATCTGAAGGGCTGTTTCTCGCCGGCGCCGCTGCCGTCATGCCGTCACCTGATGACGTGTTTTTGGCATCCGATGATGTCAGCCCGCCAGCTGACAACGAAGGCTCGACTGGCGAAGATCAGAGCGTTCCGTCGAACGATAAAGGGGATGGCGAGAGACCTACTAACGAGACGTCTAATACAGGAGACATTGAAACTGTCGTTGCGCTTGAAGCCACCGCGGTTACCAGCGAAATTGCTGACAGCGGGGATGGGATGCGCGGGACAGCAAAGGAGGCGGAAAATCGGCGGAACGAATCCGGCGCATCAGCGGCGGACATGCTGCGGGGATCTCCCCGCGCGGATGCGCCACCCGCGGGGGCAGCGGACGGGAAAGAGCTGGGGGGGAACAGTGGCGGGGGAAGGCGGAGAGGGAAGCCGTGGGAGGAGCGGATGGGGTTTGACGCGGCGCTTCCGCGCGCGACGGTGAAGCTGCTGCGGAGAATGACGAAAGCGGGCCTGCCGATTCCGCGCGACCCGTGGCTGTGCGCGACGCGGGCTGCAGACGTGGAAGGATACACGCGGCCTTCAGAGTAGGTGGAGCGGTGGAAATGTGTGTGAGGAGAGTGAGGAGATGTGTGTGCACCAAGGGGGGGGTGGGAGAATGGGGGGGGAAAGAGGGGTGCGAGTTCTGTGTACTGTATGAGGGCAATTACCTTGACACTCCATCGCATCACCCAATGCAACCCCCCCGTTTTATCAACTAAGCGCGTCCTCACCCCTCTTCCTCCCCTTGATAACCGTTTCCCCTACCCGTCCTGCCCACCCCTTCTGCCCCCCCCTCTTTGCAGGGAGGTGAGCGGGCAGTACGTGTTCCGCGGCAGCACGGTGGACCGGGCGGACTGCCGCCTCTTCTACGCCGCGCTCACCACGCCCTCGCCCTTCAACGCCACATTCTCCACCCTCTCGCGCTCCGACCCCCTCCCCCTCCCCCCATCCTCCGCCCCCGCCTCCGCCTCCTCCCCCTCCGCCTCCGCCGCGGCTCCCCCGATCCCCAAGATCGCCTTCCTCTTCCTCACGCGCGGGCCCCTCCCCCTGGCGCCGCTGTGGGAGCGCTTCTTCCGCAACCACTCGGCGTACTTCACCGCGTACATGCACGCCGCCACGCCTGGGTACCGCGTGGAGCCCTGGGTGCGGAAAAACCTGCGCGCCGTGCCCAGCAAGCCCGTGTTCTGGGGAACTCTCAGCATTGTCGAGGCGATCAAGGTGGGGGTGGGGGAGGTAGGGGTAAGGTGCAAAAATCCGTCGCAATTGAGGTGAGGTTGGGGGAGAGGGGCAAGGTAGAATACGGCATAAAATAACGACTGCAAAAGAACGATATGAAGACGTTTTAGAAATTATATAGCACTTGGGTGGAAATAGAACATCGTTCTTTACTGAAAAAGTGCGATCTGCTGCTGTTATACGGGTGTTTGGAGTGGGGCTGATGCACAACGATAAGCATCTTTGGGATTACGATAATTTTTAGTAGAGAACAAAGTGTCTTTTTTTTTTTTTCCCCAATCGTTTTACCCACCTTGGGTAGGGGGATACAGAGATGCTGCTCCTTGTCCTTTCTTCCAGCCATCCTGATCCCCTTCCCCATCACCATCCAAATCCCCATTCCCATCCCCATCACCAACAGAGGCTCATCGCCACGGCTCTCCTGGACCCGCACAACGTGCGGTTTGTGGTGGTGAGCGAGAGGGACGTGCCGCTGCACGGCTTCCCCACGGTGTACCGCTACCTGCTGGCGTCCAACCAGTCGTACGTGGGCGGTTACCGCAAGTTCTTCCGCGACAACAAGGCCGCCATCAAGGTCTTCCCGCGTCAGCTTGTGCTCGACGGATGGATGCACGGCGAGTGCTGGGTCGAGATGGCCAGACCGTGAGTGCCGCTGCCCCTAAGCCAACCCTAAGCCACATCTTTTTGCTACCTACATACTGCCATGTTATGTGCTGCCGTGCCATGTTCTCTTTTGTGCTCGCCTGGCCGTTTCCTTGGTTGTCTGATGCATGTAGTATGACGCATGGTCGTATGATGCATGGTCGTATGATGCATGGTTGTATGATGCATGGTCGTACTGCCAGGCGATGCAGCAGCCACGTATGCCTCATCTCTCCCCTTCTTCCTCCCAACCCACTTCCATATCCCCCCACCCCTCCTACCTCCCCTTCAATCCATGTATTTGCACATGCAGGCATGCAATGGAGGTGGTGCGGGACTGGGAGTGGCACGAGAAGGGCCGCAACTACTGCGCGGTGATGCAGCGCCCCACATGCTGTGTGGACGAGAACCTGATCCACAACATCATCACCTCCAAGCACCCCCACCAAGTCGCCAACCGCAGCGTCATGAGCGTCGACTGGCAACGCAAAACAGGCCACCCACACACGTACCTCCCTCGGGACATTTCCCCTGAGTCGATTCGGAGCATTCAGGAGGAGTGGCATGAGAACCAGAAGCGGCCCTACTCGCAGCCCATGTTTCTGCTGCCCAAGGAGTCACAGCAGTTTGTCATGTCCAACCGGCGATGTACAGTGAGCGGCGAGAATGCCACGTGCTGGCTCTTTGCACGCAAGTTTATTGGGCTGTCGCTGCGAGCTCTCATGAACCTTCCAAGCGATGTGCTTGGATACTAGCAAGTAACTATTTAGGGGCAGCCGGTCGCTGCCCCATTACCGAATATGATTACTGTAATAAATACAATCAATGTTTTGAGATCGCACATGGTGCTAGCTGCTCTGATTTTCTAAATGTGATGCAATAGAGGCATGGAGTATGAGCCAAGCCGCATGGAGATTTCCCAATAGAACAGCGCCTCTTGATTTGTCTGCTGTAGGAATAGTAAACGAACTGGAATGAGAGAACAGGAACCTTATAGAAATTACTACTACCAGATGAGAGTTTATACACATTGTATAGCGTCAAAACCTTGTTGCATATAGTTTATAGACTAATAATTGCTTTTTGTATGGAATATTCACGGGTTATGCTAGCTAGTGTTGTGTATTCCTCTATGTAATGTGTTCTTGAAGATGTGCATAACGCGCCACCAGAAGCGACAAACAAATGCGCGGGGAAGTCCGAGCGGGTTTCGTGCAGAAGACGCATCACTGGTGAACATTCTGTTCGATTCGCCTGACCTGCAGAGACTAGTGTACAGTATCTGTTTGCGCATGCCCTCGTGCACATCGCCAAAGCGGTTACAGCTCGTCGAAAGCTTCGTGAACACTTGTTCAGGGCGTCACTGTCTCACTCGTCGTCACCTGTAACCAGGTCTTCAGTTCCACCTGTTTTTCATTCTCAGTTTCCTACTGTCGAATCCGCGTAGCCCCCGTTGAAGGCGGCAGTGCAAATCAGAAATAAGGGGCAGTAAATTAGTTGATAACTAAGAAAGTTAGGAAGCATCGTTTAGGCGATGATTAATAACGAAATGGGTATACGTCTGAAAGATTATTAGTCATGACTGGCACAAAGTTTCATCCCGTGAAATTATGGTATGGGAAAAGACGATAAACAGCAGCCTGCTCTGACGTCCCATTTTCGCTCCTGCACACCTGGTTTGAAACTCCATAATCGGGAACCTTTTTTGTTTAGAGGTCCTAATCACTCAAATGACAATTTTCCCACCAGATGTGTACAGTTCTATGCTTGTTCGTCGCAGCGAAGGGACAGCCACCTGGTGCCACTCTTATCGGCCCTAGCAGAAAGAGGCCTAAGGGGCGCCAGGGGTAATATATGGGGCTCTTTCACAGACCTCGGACCTAGCACGGCTGACACGACTGTGGACCCTCGTCTTTCCCGAAGTTGGCTCGTTATCGGGAAGGAAATGGAGACGATGATCCGAAATGAGTGTCGGCTTGGCATATAAACAGAGTACCCTGAAACTAATCTAAAGGCTGCTCCGCCAACCCCTTCAATGTAGGGGATTTGTTTCCCACATTTGGAAAGTTGCCCCCTGATTGACGTTCTTGGAGGGACATTGCCAAGGCTAAGTCAAGCCCTTGACATCCAATGTAAAGAATCCGCATGACTTTTGTCATGGACCGTGAAGTCAAGCGTGTTCGATCTGACGTGGCTTCTGATGACAGTGATTTGCCTTTTCCCAATACGTACGCACCACTGCCCAGACATTTTCTCAGATATCGTACAAACGAGCATAGTTCGACCCAAATCGCAAATTCGCGGTGCGGTAATGCTCAAGTCAATTTCCTTGCTTTCTTGATTTGAATCTGACACCCGACAACCCATAAAGCTTCTTTTTGAGTTGTACTTAGTCGCTCACCAAACTTCAATCCAAGCAACCTGCTTTGCCATTCTGTTCCGCAAGGAGGCTCCAGCACTTCCTTGTTCCGAGTCTGTAATCAGAAGATGAAAATACGAGGCTCTTTGGGAAGTTTCGCCACTGGCGGAAGAGCCGCGGGAGCGACATCGTGGCTACTGGTTTTGTTCGCCGCGGTGCTTCTGGGAGCACCTTCTCCGACTGTCGCACCGCATCCTGACGAGGACAAGCCGCACGGTCCCTTGACACAACCCCGCGGATGTTGGAAGAAATGCAACAAGCTTAAGCTGGGGTACTTCATCAACAAATTAACCGACACAAGGGCGTCGGGACCGCAAAACATTCTCGGGAACTACAACTATGAGCGCTACGTTCTCGACCCTGCGGCCGCAACCGTCTTAGGCTCCTTGGAGACATCCGGGGTAATTATTCATTCAAACCCAGTACCGCCCGCTGTCCTTCCTTCCGTCATTTACTGTCCCACCGTCGCAAGGGTGCGTCTCCGTTGTGTTTTGAGCGAAGCGCCGCTCGGCGGCGCATCACTACAGTTCATGAGAGCGCGAGAAGTTGGAGACGCTGTGCACATTCTGTTTTAACTTTCCCGTCTCTCCGTGCTTTCCTGTTTCTCCTCTTGGCAGCACGGTAGCGAGCTAGTGGAATGCTGTCAGAAGTGCGCCAAGCAGGTTGGCTGCAGGTTCTGGCACCTGAAACCTCCAATGAATGGCCAGCTGTAAGCATCCGCCACTGATATTCGTTATACTTGTCATGCGATGACAAAGCATTGAATGGAGCACTGTTTTCTTGCTCTCTCGCCGTGTGACAAGCTTCTTTCCTTCACTTTACAATGCTTAAACCGTGTGACTCGTCAACGCCCCCGCTTTCCCCTTCAAAACTATAGTTTTCTTTAACCGCCGCCCTCCCTGTGTCATGAGCAGTGGCCAATGCACGTTGCTGGGTTCTTTGGCTGGCATTACCGTGCGGAACTGGGACGTACCCATCGTACCAACGTTCCTGGGCGGAGAGTGCAACCCCCTTGCCAACACGGACGATGACCCGCACTTCCGGGGCGCGGACGGCACCCGCTACGACTTCAACGGCCTTCTCGACCGCTCCTTTTGCTTGGTTTCCGACCGTCGGATCCACGTCAACATGGGAATCAAGGGTTACCAGCCCGTCGCGAATCTTCCCGGCACGGCGACATCATTGGATGAAGAGTCGCTCGCTGCAGCGGTGGAAGCGGCGGCCAATGAGAAGAAGCCACGTCATATCAGGCAGCTGGAGGAGGAGCGACTGAGCGCGGAGGAACTGAGCGAGCTGGATAGAATGCGGGCCAATGGGAGCCTGCCGTTGACTGATGAGGTAGTGGCGGCGCTTGACAGGGAGACGGGTCGCAGCAGCGAAGAAGGCGGCGAGAGTGGAAGGAAGCAGGATTCAATTCAGTATTCGAAGCATGAGCTGAAGGCGAGGCTTTTGAAGGGAAAGCCAGTTCGCAGCTGGATCAGGTATGCGCAATATGTTCGTAGTCTTTTCATTCAGTTTAGCATGCGCCGTGTTTGTAACATGCACAGTCGTTACGAGCCTCATCTTTTCTCCTCGGCCGCACTCCCCTGCTTTGTGCCTTCCAGGGAGCTCCAAGTGATGTGGCGCGACGAGACTGGCGCGCAGCACTCGGCGTTCTTCAAGGCTCGCGACGGCAAGGAGCAAGGGAGGGGCAGCAGCGGGTTCATCGACCGACTGGAGCTCGACGGCTCGCCCGTGGCTCCGCCTCTGTCTGAAGGCTCTTCCGTCGTTGGCAGCGGCGGGTTCAAGCTGCTTCTGGCGGAAACGAAGAGCTGCAAGGGGAAGGACGAGGACGAGTTTCATCTCACGATCGACGGCCTGGTGGACATGGGCATTTCTGCGCGTCTGGCGCATCCGCTCATGCAGACAGCCTCGGAGGCCCAGGCGCATTTCAACGTGCACATCGCTCGTCTCAATGTGAGCGACTTTTTTTTTCTTCGCTCTGTGCTGTGCCTGGCTGGTGCTGCCATTATAACCGTCCTGGTATGGTACCCTTATTGCCATTTTGCCCCATGCAACGTCTTCCCTTCACCCATCTCACCCTCTCCCTCTTCCTGTCGGTCCCTCTTTCCGACCTCCCTTCTGCAGCACACGAGCGGCATTCACGGCGTGCTGGGTCAGACCTTCCGAGAGGAGGAGTCCCGCAAGGTGCGCTCGCTGCGGTACCGCCTGCTGACCCGCCTGCTGCGCGAGCCGGTGGAGGTGGAGAGCGAGAGTGGCAGGGGATTCCTGGATGGGCGCACGGAGGACTATATCACCTCGGATATTCACTCCGCGGATTGCATGTACGCCGCTGCGTGGCGAAGGGGGGAACACGAGAGCAGTGAAGGAAGCGATTTCATGTGACTCGCTGTTGCGGAGTGGTGCACATCACCTCTTGAAAATAGTTAGATATATACAGATAGCCTAAATAATGATTATGCAGCTATAGTGTCGTGCGAAATTGTGAGTTCAGATGTTGTGTGTTGTAATGTAAATCCAGTGTGTTGTTACGAAAAAACGTGAAAAAAATAATGTGTTCAAGATTAATATGAAACTTTCAGTAATCTGAAACTAAATAAGCAATGATTTCGTTTTTTAAGCTAACACACAAGGAGCAATGAGTGTTGAGATTATGCTTCATTTTTGCAATGAATAATGTCAAATGCTGTAGCCTGTAGTGAGGCTTATTTTATGGGGCACAAATGTTAAGGTTAGGTATATGTACCCCAACCCACATTAATGCAACAACAATTCAGTTCTTGACATAGTATCACCTAGGTTAAGGGTACATTCCGCTCTGGACACTGTCCCAATCGAAAGTGCCCGAATCGATTCTACCGCACTGCATCGTATTACACCGAATTACACCCTAGTTTCAAACATTGTCGAAATTTTCGCGTCTCTGGTTTAGTTCGGTTCGGAGCGGTACACTCGATTGGGACACTTCGATTGGGACAGTGTCCAGAGCAGAATGTACCCTAAGATCCTCTCGGATCCACTAGCCGACCACTCCTGTAGCGCCTATCACTGTCGAACATATATGCTGCATATTGTCTAGGCTGTAGTGGGGTAGCCCATATGGGGTACAGCCCAATTAGGGTTTACTACTTGTACTCCTGCATGCTGCTAGTTCATTCATTCCTGCTGCTAGATTCTAACATGGTATCAGAGCACTAAGGTCCGTAGGACCGTTTTTTTTCGGGCCCACCTACCGCTGCGGTTACCGCGCTACCCCACGTACCTGCCTGCCTTGCCTTGCCTTGTGACGTGCTGCACTACGCGCGCCGTCCAGCAGCCCTAGCGCTGCCTCCTGCTGCCCTAGGCCAGCGCGCTGCCCCTAGAGGCCCGTAAGGCCCGCGCGCCGCCCCTACACGCCCTTCAGGCCCGCGAACAGCCCCTGCAGACCGTTAGGCCCCTTGCTGCCGCGCGCTGCCCGCACCGAGCCGCGCGCAGCCCGCTGCTGCCTCGCGCTGCCCGCACCGAGCCCACGCAGCCCGCGCCGAGCCGCGCGCAGCCCGCTGCAGCCGCGCGCAGCCCGCACCGAGCCGCGCGCAGCCCGCTGCTGCCGCGCGCTGCCCGCACCGAGCCGCGCGCAGCCCGCTGCTGCCGCGCGCAGCCCGCGCCGAGCCCACGCAGCCCGCGTCGAGCCGCGCGCGGCCTGCTACGGCCTCGCGAGGCCCGCGCGCGGCCCGCAACAGCCCGCGCCGAGCCGCGCGCGGCCCGCTACTGCCTAGCGCGGCCGCGCGCGGCCTGCAACAGCTGAGCGTGCTGTCAGCGCAGCCCGCGCCGAGCCGCGCGCGGCCCGCTACTGCCTAGCGCGGCCGCGCGCGGCCTGCAGCAGCTCAGCGTGCTGTCAGCGCAGCCCGCGCCGAGCCGCGCGCAGCCCGCGCCGAGCCGCGCGCGGCCCTCTGCCTCGGCCCCGACCTGCCGCTGATGCGGCCCCGCCCTGCAGCTGCCACGGCCCCGACCTGCCGCTGATGCGGCACCGCCCTGCAGCTGCCATGGCCCCGACCTGCCGCTGATGCGGCCCCACCCTGCGACTGCCGCTGAAGCGGCCCCGCCCTGCAGCTGCTTCGGCCCTGCTCTGCAGCCGGTGTTGCGGCCCCGACGTCGCCGCTGTCGTGCGCCTACTCGGCCGCCGCCCGTCGAGCGCCGGCCCTGCTCGCCCGGTGAGCGCCTGCTCTCCCAGCCTTTGGTGAGCGCCTGCCTGCCTGCCTGCCGGCCTGCCTGTCTGCCTGCCTGCCTGCTTGCCTGCCTGCCTGCCTGCCTGCCTGTCTGCCTGCCTGCCGGCCTGCCTGCCTGCCTGCCTGCGCGCCTGCCTGCCTGCCTGCCGGCCTGCCTGCCGGCCTGCCTGCCTGCCTGCCTGCCTGCCTGCCTGCCTGCCGGCCTGCCTGTCTGTCTGCCTGCCTGCCTGCCTGCCTGCCTGTCTGCCTGCCGGCCTGCCTGCCTGTCGGCCTGCCTGCCTGCCTGCTTGCCTGCCTGCCTGCCGCGCCTGCCCTGCCCGCGCTACTGCTGCTGCTACTGCTACTGGCAGGTGGCCAGATGCAGCTCCAGCGACGTTCACGCGAGCCTCTCACGCCCCAGCAGCTTAGTGAGTGGTATACTAGCTGGGGTTGTCGCGGTAGCCGTCGTAGCTGTCGCCCTGGAGCTGGTCAGTTGGGAGCGTTTGGCAGTGGCCAGCTGCAGCTGCAGCGGCGTCCACGCGAGACACTTACGCTCCAGCAGCTCCATGAGTGGTACGCTCAGTGTAGCAGGTCTACGCGTACAGTTCGCTGCCCGTACGTCATTCGCACAGGTGCTAGGACTGGTCAGCCTTGTGGGACGCTTGGTCACACACAGTCCCGCTGCTTCGCCCGTCTGAGCGACGACTGGCGCACAGTGTTTGGCGACGAGGCTGAGCTCCCCACCTGGCTGGAGCTGCATGGACAGAGGGTAGATATCTTTGCGCTTGACTATGATGCTATTCTCACTGCCATGTATGCATTGCCTACTAGTGCTGACCGTGCCTGTTACCTGTGCGTACCGCCTGACCCTGGTATAGAGCCTGCTGCTCTCGGTGCTGGTGAGGCTGCTGCTCTAGGTGCTAGTGCGTCTCCTGCTCTAGGTGCTGGTGAGGCTGCTGCTCTCGGTGCTAGTACGTCTTCTGCTCTAGGTACTGGTGAGGCCGTGGCTTCAGGTGCTGGTGAGTCTGCTCTCTCTGGTACTGCGCCCACTGCGGTCTCGCACACCTTCACCCTTGACTCAGGAGCTTCCCGCTCCTTCTTTCGCGACTGCACCACACTCACGCCGCTTAGTCGGCCAGTTCCAGTCTCCCTGGCGGACCCCTCCGGGGGTCCAGTCCTTGCCCACTACTCCACGGTTTTGCCGTGGCCGGCCGCCCCGTCTGCCGTGTCCGGCCGCCCCGTCTGGCTCGTTGAAGTCCTTCCCCTTTGTCTGCTGGAATCCCTTAGCCACAAGCCTTGACTTGTAGCGGGTCAGCTCCCCATCAGGCCCGTACTTGTGCCTGAAAATCAGCTTCGAAGAGATTGCCTTCTTCCCAGGAGGCAGCTCACACAGCTCCCATGTGTCGTTCTCCAGCAAGGAGTCATACTCCTCCTTCACACTCTGCTTCCACTTCTCAGCATCGGGCCCACTCAAGGCCTCGGTAAGTGTCTTGGGCTCAGGGACGGCTGCCCAGTAGCAGTGCGCTATCTCCTCCTCATCACACTGCTCAGCCACACTCCCAGCCCGTACCACCTTTGGCTTCCCAAAGCTCGGATAGGTCAGCCGGTTAGGAGGGCGCACATCCCTCCTAGGACGGTCAGCCGTACGTGCGGCACCTTGTGGAGCACTTTGCTGCTGCTGCTGCTGCTGCTGCTGCTGCTGCTGCTGCTGCTGCTGCTCCACCACCTCAGGTTCTTCCCCATCCTCAGTCACCCCAGAGATCTCCTCCCCCGACACGGAGACTTCCACCTGCCTTGAAGGCCGCTGCACCTCATCGGCCTCAATGATCAGCGGTGTCATAGGAAGTTTCTGCTGCTGCTGCTTCCACTCCTTGTAGTACAGAGACTCAAGGAACTTCACATCCCTTGACACAGTCAGCTGCTGGCTGGTCAAGTCCCATATCAGCCAGCCCTTGTGGTCCTTAGCAAGTCCCAAGTGCACACCCCATCTCCCAGAAGCTTCCAGCTTTCCCCTCTTCTCCTTCGGCACATGAAACACCACCATGCAGCCGTAGGCTCTCAGCATGTTGACTGCAGGTGCACTCCCATACCACTTGGTGTAGGGGATCCACTGCTTGTCCCCCACAGTCGCGAGCACCCTGTTCTTCACCACAACGACCTGCCGTAGTGCAGTCACCCAAAACGGATCCGGCAGCCCTGCACGCCCAAGGAGAGTGCGAGCACCTTCCTGCAGGGTCCGGTTGAACCGCTCAGCCACGCCGTTCTGCTGCGGGTTGTAGGGCACTGTGAGCTGATGCTGAATCCCCTTCTTCTTCAGCACCGCCTCAAACTCATTGCCAATGAACTCTCCCCCGTTGTCAGTGCGGATCACCTTCACCTTGTGTCCGCTCTCCCTTTGAGCTCTCGGCATCCACTCCTTAAGAACAGCCGCTGCCACGTCCCCCTTGGTCTTGAGAGGGTACACCCACACCGCACGTGTGTGGTCGTCCACGATGGTCAAGAAGTAGCGGCTGCCCGAGAGAGAAGGGGCCCTCGTAGGGCCCACCACATCCATGTGCACAAGCGCAAGCGGTTCCTTGGCTGGTCACGTGCTGCTGGTGAAGGGAAACTTTGTGAATTTAGTCTCAAGGCATGTAGGGCAGCTCCCAATCTCCTTTGCTGCCCCCTTCACCTCCAACCCCTTCAAGCTCCCATCCTTCACTAACTTCTGCAGCATAGGGATGTTGATGTGGCACAACCTCTCGTGCCACGTCTCCCAATCGGCCTCACCACTCCCAGACGAAGCCTTTGCCCATGCAGCTGTTGCATCCACACCAGCAAGCACCTCACCATGAGGCTGCTGTGGCTGCTGCACCTTCTTGACTGCATCCAGGGCCCCAGCAGTTGGTGCAGTCTCCTCTCCTCCCGCAGTTGCCTTAGCCGCTGCCGCTGCCTTTGCCGTTGCTGGTGGTTTCCCATTCCAAGGGATGATGGGCAGCTGCCACAGGTCCTTGATGCAGCTGCTCTTCTCCTCCAAATCCCACAGCAGCAACTTCCCAAGCTTCGCACGGCAGCTGGTTGGGCCGAACGTAACTTTGGCCTTGCTTTTCTGCAGCCGGCGCACAGAGAGGAGGTTAGCGGATAGACCTTCAACAAGTAGGACATTCCCAAGCCCCACAAGTCCCCCATTGGCTCCCATCACCTTGGCATTCCCAACACCAA